TTATGTTTCAGGCTACTCCCATCGATGCAACACATCATCAGATTAGTGATGGAGCCGCATGGACGATTATATCCACAGATAAGGTTGCTTAGGCGGACTTCATGATTTTTTTGTTGCCATTGACCCCTTCTTTCTAGGCGGAATATCGTTTCTACGAAGCTATGGGCCCGGTATCACAACCAATTACTCCTGTTCCCGTAGTCAGTGGATTGGACATAACCGGTAGTGATTCCATGGCACGAGTGGAGCTGACAGGCTACAATATGAAGCCAAATCTGAAGATCTGGTTTGGAACAACTCCAGTAGAAACGATATATAGGTGACTTGTTATAGGCATAAATAAAAGTAGAAATCTCACACTAAAAATATAAGCTCCGATGTACTTTGTAGCTCATCCTAGGGGTAGAGATTCTGAATTATGGGCCTTATCTAACAATAAGGCAGTGATTTTTACATATCTGTTTCTAAACCATCCATTCATCGTATAGCATAGCATAAGCCTATGCATACGAAAATGACATTCAAAACGTATAAAACATCCTGTTTCTAGTGATCTAATGCGCCACTTTTACACTGTGATGTGCTCCCACAGAGCCATACGGCGCTTTCTCTCTATGTACTACGAATCAAGAAAAAAGCGATTTGACTGAGTAGCTGGGAACACTTAAAGGTCAAAAGGCCATTATTTGGGTTCTGGCATTTGTAGGCGTTTTTCTAATGTGCTCAGTCCTAGATACGTAACTGCAGTGATTGTATTCAGTTCTGCCAGTAGCACTGGGTGAATAGCATAGCATTAGGTTATAGTTTTGATTTTGATCCCGAACAAAATAAAAATATATGGCGGTATTCGCGCTGTGCAGCTGATTGAGTTCTGAACAGTGTGGAACAGTGTTTGGTGCTCACAAAAGAGTTTGTTTATAGACGGTAATCTAGCGGCTTCATTAACAGGAAAGGATACCAAAAGCTGAGTATTGAATTTGAGATGTATACCACTAGACGCGTTTTTGAACACTGATTCCAAATCTGCTTTATCTTTTGCGGAACTAGTTTCCGAAAGAAGGTATGAGCGTGTGGATGTCCAGATTTGTCAAGCTCTAAGTGGCATAAAACTAACGGAAATTTCTACAAAAGCTTGTATGCGAGATCCAGCTGTAGATCGAGATCCGGCTGTACTCCTTCCTTGTAGTCAATGTACATGAAAAAAATTTATTATTTACTCTAGGTGTTTTTGTAGAGTTCATAGGTGTTTGTTTTTTCGCTAATTTTATGCCGCTAAAAACTTGGCGAGGTCTTTCAAACGCTCATAACTTCCTTCGTGGAGTCTCTCCGCAAAAAAGGAAAGCAAGTTTGGAATCAGCGTTCGAAGACGCTTCTAGCAGCGACATCTCGTCTTCAGTCTCCAACGTCGGTATCCCTCTATTGCTAGAAGTATTCTCTGGCACGGGCTGCCAGACAAACTTATTTTCTAAATTTTTGTTCGTGTCTCAATTTGCGTTTTTAGGTCCGACGAATCCCTCACATGCCAGGTTCCTTCCCATGCGGTAATCAAGACCGAAGCATCTGGATGGGATTTCAGCGGGGACGACGCCGAGGTGCCGATCACCCTGGTCAGGGATGATGGGGTAATCTACTCGACTCCGATGATGTTCTCCTACAAAACGCTCA